GCCTTCTGCACTTCACTCTGTGTAGCCCTCCAGCTGATTCTGCTCAGAGTTGTGTCAAAAAGAGAAAAGACATTTGATACTGATTTGTGGCGTCTTTCTCAAGACATGATCTCATGGATAGCCCTGGCTGGCCTGTAACTTGCTACTGTAGACCAGGCTGTCCTAGAACTTAAAGCAACCTTTCTGCTTCTCTCAAATGTTGGGATTCATGTATGTAGCACTATGCCCAATTTCCAGGGTTTAAAAGAATGAATTTTAAAGGATCTGATCTGGGTTTGGGCCTTTAAGTATTTAAAGCTTAAGAAAGGAAAGAGTAGGGTACTCAAGTAAAGTGAATAGCGGAGTTAATGTACAAGAAGACTGTGTATTATAATTACAGTCAGTAATACACAGCACGGGAAAAGAAACAGAAGCAACAATCATCTACTAAAGATTCACATGGCAGCAAAGCAGCCCAGCAGAAGAGGAGAGATTTCATTTCATCTTTTCTTTAGGGCAGGATCTTTTTATGTAGCTGAAGCAGTTCAAAACGTCCAAAGCTCATGCCTTAGCATCCAAAAAACTGAGCTAACAGGCATATAGCAAGACTGTCTCTTGCTGCTGACTTTCTATTGTAGTAACTGCCAAAATTAACATCATTATCTCAACTATCCTTAAAGAGAAAAGAAAATGCCAAACTTTACAAATACATATAAAAATAGCCAGAGAAGGCCATGTGTGATGGCAGGTGGATTTGAGTTTGAAGTAAGCCTCGTCTACACAGTTAGATTCTGTCTCCAAAAAGAGAAAGACAGAGAGCATTAAATAAAAAAGTATGCATTGCCGATGCTGATAATCCCCAAGAAGTCCAGCAAAAAGGCACATGCCTGTAATTCCAGCACTTTTGAAGTAGAGGCAGGAAAACTACTGAGCTCAAGGCCAGCAGCTACACAGCAAGTTCAAGGCCAACTAAGTTTATAAACTCCATTCCTCTACCTGGAAGGAGGGGAGAGAAGGAGAGAAAAGGGTAGGGGGAAGAGAATAAATTCAAGCTGGGGACATAGCTCAGCTGCAGGTTTCCTTAATGTGGGGAAGGCCTGGGGATCCATTTCCAGCACTGGGGTGGGGCAGCGTAGTGGCAATGGCATAGGTCAGCAGGTAACAGCACCTAATAACTTGCCACACACGCATGACAACTAGAGATCCCCAGAATCCATGGAAAGGTGGAGGAGAAAACAAATACCACCAATCTGCCCTTGACCCCACAATAGTAAAACAGTTTTAAGAGGCAGAGCTGAAGATAGGGCTCAGTAGTTAAGAGTACTTGCTTTTCTTGCAGAGGATCTGAGTTCTAGTCCCAGCACCCACCCATGTGTAACTCCAGTTCCAGGGACTTGGTATCCTCCATGCATACACATAAAAACCCCATAGGCAAATATTTGAATTCTTGGCAGAATTGTCTGGGAAGGACCAGGAGGTGTCACATGAAGGGGGGTGTCCAGCTTTGAGGTTTCAAAACCCCACACCATTCCCCTTAAGTTCTTACTACCTCAAGGTCGTTGTCTCAGCCTGTGAGCAGAACTCTCAGCTCTAGCTCCTGCCATGATGGTCATGGACTCTAATCCCCTAAACTGTGAACCCCTGAAAAAACCTTTCTTTAACAAATTGCCTTGGTCATGGTGCTTTGTCACTCAATAGAAAAGTAACTAAGATACAATGAATCTGAAGAAATAGGTGGGCCAGAAGCTGAGACTAAAAGAAATAGCTCTAAACAGTAGCACCACCCACAAGGTAAACAAATATACAAAGTGGGTTCCTATTATGACGAAAAGACTGTCTTTCCCAAGCAACCAGGAACAGAAATCCGGTGAACTTTAAGGGAAATCAGGGTCTGTTACAGAACCTACTAACTCTATCTTTCTTTCTTTGGTTTTTCGAGACAGGGTTTCTTTGCATCCTGTCCTGGAACTAGCTCTTGAAGACCAAGCTGGCCTCAAATTCACAGAGATCTGCCTGCCTCTGCCTCCCCAGTGCTGGGATTAAAGGAGTGGGTCATCACTGAGCGCCCCCCACTAACTTTTACCCGCCCCCGCCAATATTAAAGAATTCACCTACTCTCAGAGATGGTGCTTAGCAGCAGATAACGCCAACATGCACAAACTCAGTCATCACTTCATGTTGCACTGTGTCAGGAGCAATTATTTTAGCCTTTGATAAAAAGCTGACAGTTCTTTCCCTGTAGGAATCCCAGTCTGGAGAAGGGCTAATGAGCTGATTGTTCAGGGGGAAAAAAGTTGCAATGAAATCTCAATGCTGAAAAGAGGACCCTGCTGGCAACGTGGGAGGTGACTATCTTCTAAGCCTACTAAAAGCAGACACCACAGCAGAAATCCACCCAACTCTTGATGGCTCGATGCATTATGGGATATGCAGTCTTATAAGGTAAGCAGGTGAAACAATTTTTAAGAGAAAGACAAGCCTGAAGCCAGGTGTGGTGACGTATTTAGGATAGAGGCAAGAGGATCAGACACTGAAGACCAGCTGGGCTACAAGAGACCTGTGGATCCCAAGTTTGAGGCCAGCGTGGACAATACAAAGGAACTGGTTTAGGAAAAAGAAAAGCAGTGCCTTTCATCCCAGTACTTGGGAGGCAGAGGCAGGCGGATCTCAATGAGTTTGACCAGCCTGGTTTAGAGTGAGTTCCAGGACAGGCTCCAAAGCTACACAGAGAAACCCTGACTCAAGAAAAAAAATAAAGGGGATGGAGAGATAGCTCAGAGTTAAGAGCATTGCTTGCTCTTCCAAAGGTCCTGAGGTTCAATTCCCAGCAACCACATGGTGGCTCACAACCATCTGTAATGACGTCTGGTCTGCAGGCATATACACAGACAGAATATTGTATACAAAATAAATAAATATTTTTAAAAAACCACAAAAAAAGAAAGAAAAGAAAGAAAAAGAAAAAAAGACCAGCCTGAACTACAGACTGAGATCCAGAACAGCCAGGACTACAAAGAGAAACCCTGTCTCAGAGGGAGGAAAAAAGGCTTTAACATTTAAATATATATTTCAACAATGGCAATTGAAAATGCTAGGCAAACACTGAGCGATATCCCAATAACTTAACTCAAAACTGCCTTAAAGTGTGTAACAGTCCACAATTCTCCAATTGTGTGACCCCTTCAGTCAAAAAAGCCGGACCCAACCGACACCCCCTCAAAGTTAACAGCATGATTACATAACTATGATAAATTGTTTCTAAGCAAGAACAAGAATTCTAGGGATGTATAAATGCTATCTATAAAGTGTAATCAGTACTGATTGTTAGCCACAGAACGCCCTGAACACAAAGTACCCCAAATCGAAACACAAATTGCTTCCTTTCTCTAGTATATCCTGATTCAGGCAGTCTTCACTACAGGACTTTCGAGTGCCACCCTTCTAAGTCAGTCAGAGGAGCTTGGAATGCAGCGATCCCACTGGGTCAGAAGCAAAGATAAGTTATAGTTTAACTGTGAAACACTGGTTTACAGGCTCTTTTGAACCGTTTTGAATTAAAGGCCATTGTGCCAGGAGGGCAAAAAGTACACACCTTCGAAACTATTATTATACTAAATTAATTAGTATGCTGTGGCAATAATTTGCAAATTACCCAACCCACCACTCAAAGAGACAAAGCCAGAAATCCTATGTTCTCCCTTCCCAAACAAGTTCTTATTAAGGGTCACATTTACTCTAAAGAATCTACCGTTTTGTGAGGTTATGTGGCCCCTGAAGTGGTATACTCCCCCAACGGCTACTTTCTCCATTTTGAGTCTTATCATTTTCTGTAATTATCTAAAGTTGACAATTATGATAGATCCTAGTGAAATTATTCTTGTTCGTTTACTCTCTTCTCAATGGATGCCTCTGCAGCTTATAACTTTATGTAAAATATTGTAAGCCATGCCATGGACAAAATAAAGGCCTGTATCAAGAAAGCACTTACGATCGTTCTGCAGCCACTGAGTGACCTTGGTTAAAAACCACTGGCTCTGGGGTGAGGACAATAAGAAAGGAAATACCTTAGGACCCAGGACCTGTACCCCTGCCTCCTCCCTGCCTGGTCTGCAGACCAGAAGACGTCTACACTGACTCACCTAGATACTGAAAGATACAGATCGGAGGGGGAGGGGATGGGTAAATCCCTCCACATAGGAAGTGCAGCAATAACACGGAGTAAGGACGTGGCCCTAAGCGGGAACCTAGGCTTCTTCCTTTCCGGATCTGCCCCGGCCCCCACCCCCACCCACGGCGGAGCTCCGCCGGGCTGCCACCGACTGGGAAGGCGGCAGCCGCAGCCAGGCCCGATAGATAGTGGAGGACGTCCGCGCTGTGTAGGCCCAACCGCTCCCGCGCCCAGCTGCTCCTCCGGCCCTGACCCCGCAGAGTGGCCTCACCAGGGGGCGAAGAACTCGACTAGCATGAGGCCCGCCGAGCCCGTGTCGGAGACGCGACTCTCGAAGTTTTCGTCCGTGAGTTCCAGGACGTCAGAAGCAGCGGCGAGGCGGGCCGAGGCGAGCAGCAGCGCCACGCCCGGGAGCAGCGCTAGGTGGCTGAAGCGCATGGCGGCAAGACTCGGCGGGGGCGGTCGGAGGGTCGGGGCCGGGGGACCGAGAAGAGAGCGCCCGCGATCTGCACCCGCTGCCTGAGCTCGCGCGTCTGGCCCAGGCAGACCTGCCGCCGAGGTCCCAACCCCCTAGGCCGGCTCGGGCCGCAGTGTGGCAGCCGCCGATTGGCTGCATTCCCCGCTGCGTCGGGCGGGGATGAACCAGCTGGTAACTGCCGATTGGCTGGCGCGCGGGGCGGGGCGAACGCCCGCGGGCCCGGCTGTGGGGAAGGCGTTGGAGGGGGTCGGTGGGAAGTGGGGGCTCCGCGTAGCCGGGGCGGCCCTGAGCTCGGCCAGCTGAGGAGGAGTGGAGCTCAGGGCGGCGCCGGCGCGGGAGGCGGAGGGGTGAAGTCAGGGCTGAGTGGGCGGAAGTGCTCTGGAACTGACGTGAGGCTCAGAAGCGTCTCGGAGGGGAGCTTGAGCCGCCCCGCTCCCTCCCTCCCGGGCGTTGGGGCGCTCACACACTTTTGCACAATACGACACGTATTCCAAGTGCCAGGCTGTTGATTTGTCCAATTATAGGGCGTAGAACACTACATCCTGCTGCTGCCCGACCTCGTATCCTGCTTTGTCAGGTCCACGTGAGGTCTGTATTCTTTGTCCAGCCTTAGGCCTTCTGCCTTCCTGCCCGATAATTTTTCACTGATTGCCGTTGTTTGTTCGAGAGGGTGGGTATCCGAGGATTGAACCGGGAACCTTACCCAATGCTGGACAAGTGATCCATTGCCGAATTATAGTCTTAGTCCTACCTAGTCCTCTTTTGACATTTTGAGACATGATCTCACTAAATTTCCCATGTTGGCTGTATGTTCAATAATCCTTGCAGGCCCAGAACTTTCCTATCCTCTGGCCTCAACCTCAAGGATTGATGGTTGATAGTCTGCACCACCAGGCTCAGGCTCAATTTTTACTCTTTCTTAATAAAGTCTCACTATGTGGCCCTGGCTGGCTTGGAACTAGCTATGTATAGATTAGGCTGGCCTCAACAGAGATGCACCAGCCTCTTGAGATTGAGATTAGAAGTATGTGTCCCCACAGCCAGCCCTTTCAATTAATTTTTTAAGAAGAAATGCTTACCGGGCGATGGTGGCACACGACTTTAATCCCAGCACTTGGGAGGCACAGGCAGGCAGATCTCTGTGAGTCTGAGGCCAGCCTGGTCTACAAGAACTAGTTCCAGCAAAGGCTCCAAAGCTACAGAGAAACCCTGTCTAGAAAAAAAAAAGAAAAAAAAAGAAAAAAAAAGACTAAAAAAGTTTTTGTTCTTTGGTTTTGATGTTTTGTTTGTTTATGCAAAAGATAGAAAAATCATAGATATTTCCACAGACAACTAAATATCCACGAATTTTCACTTTCTGACAGCGCTTAGTAATTATGTATTTCTTATTTATCTATTTATTTATTTAAATAAATCCTGAGTGCTGGGATTAAAGGCGTGCGCCACCACCGCCCCATTTTTGAGTCTTTCAAACTGTTTGTACTTAACTGCTCATGGTATCTTTAATGGACTCCCTAAATCTCTGAAAGGCAAAGAAAGTGGGAAGGAAGGGAAAAAGCAACAACAAGAAAACTCCAAACCTCTGACCCTTGGTTCTATTTTCTTCACAGACATGGCACAGGAACGAGGACACATCCCGCTGCCTAGAGCTGATGCTATTCGCTCTCATCTTATTGACACCTTCTCCCTCATAGAGCATTTGCAAGGCTTGAGCCAAGCTGTGCCAAGGCACACTCTCCGGGAGATACTTGGTTAGCAGCCTGTTCGCTTGCACTAAGTGTAGTATCCCTGCCCACATCCTCAGAAGTTAGGGTGGAGCCAGGAATGGTGGTATATGACTGAGTCGGGGGTCACAAGTTTGTGACTAGCCTGGGTTTCTTCATAGCAAGACCCTGGTTCCAAACAACAACAACAAAATAGGGCTGGCGAGATAACTTAGTGAGTAAAGTTGCCTGCCACCATACTGATAACCTGAATTTGATTCCCAGGACCTACCTGGAAGGAGAGTACTGGTTCCAAAAGTTGCCCTCTGGCATACACATGCATGCTCGACCCCCCCCACACACACACACAAATGTTTAAATAAAACACACACAGGTGTGGGTGATACTTGCCTGCAATTCCAGCATTCTGGAGGAGGAGGCACCAGGAATTCAAGTAGTTTGAGGATGAGAGGGGTTATTTGAGACTCTTATGTCAAGTAATGGAAACAGTGAGATGGCTCAGGGAGTAAAATGTACTTGCTGCCATGTCTGAAAACCTGAATTCTATACCTAGGACACACATGGTACAAGAAGACAACGTACTACTGCAGTTGTATACACACACACACACACACACACACACACACACAATTTTTTAAAAAGTACAAATAAAAGGAAAATTTTAGAGATGAGAAACTACACTAAACTTGATGAATTCAGGACTTTAAACCTCTATGTTTTCCTCTGAATCCTAGTCAGGTGACCCTGAATTTGAAAAGTTTCCACCAAAGGTACTTAAAACTTGGAGGTTTCTAAACTGGTTTGGTGGCCTTACATCCTTAGAAGGCAGAGGCAGGTGGATCTCTGAATTGGAAAGAGCCTGCATAGCAGGTCCTAAACCAGCTGGGACTTGAGGTTTGTACCTGCTGCTTTCATAAGCACAGTCAGTGTGGGGCATAAACTATACATTTTCACTTTACACTAATAGAATTCTTAGTTGCTTTGGAACAGAGCAGCTTACAAGGCAGAGCTTCTGCTGCTTGTAGAAGGTCCATTATTTCACCAGTGCCCCTCTCCCCAACTCTGCCTGCTGTCCACAGCCCCCCAGCCTGTAGACCTGTCTATACTCCTTTCTGCTTTGAGGGGAGGCTGGGGAGGGAAGGCAGTCTTGTGTGTTGCCCAGTACTGGTGCATTCAAGCTGAACAACAGGCCTGCCCAATTACTTTTTTGTAATAGATCCTTCTCTCCAGAAGAAACTCATGTCAGGAGACCAGCATCAGCTAGTGCGCTTCTCCATAAAGCCCCGGCATATGGGCCACATCACACACTCCCAGCGAATGCTGAGCAGGCTTCGTGTGCGGTGCAGCCAGAGACCACCTCTTTCCCTGTGGGCTGGATGGGTTATTGAGAGTATCCTTTTGTGTCACCTGTTCCTTTTGTGGCTTTCCCTCATCTGTTAATGATTTATTTTCCCTCTCAAACTATTTTCTTCAAATTCTCATGTCTGATATTGTTGTCCTTATTATTTCAGCTGCATAAATGAGAATGTGCTCCGTCTGTGTGTTTCCTTAAAAGCAAACAGGTCCTATCTTCTCAAAATTCATCATCTTCCTCATATTTCTGAATACAATTGTACTGATGGTCGAAATAGGTGAGAACTGGTGCTTATGAAAAAAGGTTGTTCTCTTCCAACCTGACCGTTTCATATTTTCAGGTATCATTTTCAGGCTCATTGTAATGGGGACAGATTTACTTATTCATTTACTTTTTGAGACAGAGTCTTGTGTAACCTACACTAGCCTCAAGGATGACCTTGAACCTGACCTCCTACTTGTACTTTCCATCTGAGATTATAGGTGTGCACCACTATGCCTAGCTAAGAGAAAGGGAGCTCTAAAATACCGTTTACATATTATATGAGATGTATTAAAAAACAGAAGGGCTTCTCATTTAATTGTTAACTCAGGCAGATTGCACAGATCAGGAGTGGTGGTGAATGCCTTTCATCCAGCACTTCGAAAATTGAGGCAGCGTTATAAGTTGAAGGCTAACCTGCACTGTGCAGTAACTCTCTCAAAAGATAAAGTTCATAAAAGCTGCTTAGAATGAAAGAACAGTAGTAATTCTTGATGGTGGTGGCACACGCCTTTAATCCCAGCACTTGCGAGGTAAAGGCAGGCAGATCTCTGTGAGTTCAAGGCTAGCTGGTCTACAGAGTCAGTTCTAGGACAATCAAGGCTGAGGCCAGCCTGGTCTACAGAGTGAGTTCCAGGACAGCCAAGGCTACACAGAGAAACCCTGTCTCGAAACCAAACCAAACCAAATCAACAAAACCACAAACCAAATCAAAGTCCCCATAAGTATTTATTATTCTGTTTTCATATGGTATCCCTTAATTTTTGAGGATTTTACCATTGTTGTATTATCATTTTCTCATATTATCATATTTTATTACTTTCATATTGTCATATTGTGTAACTTGACCAAATCAATTATTTTGTGACAATCTATTTTACATATTTATTTTTTATTTTATTTATATGTGTATGTGGTTTTACATGTGCGTACATGCTGTGTCTACAGATGCCAGAAGAGGGCATTGGGTCTCCTAGTTACAGATGTGGTCCTCTGAATGGTTGCTGGGAATAGGGTACTCTGCCAGTGCTCTTACTGCCTAGCCACATCTCCAGGCCCTTGTAATCTTACTTGTTTAAAGCCAAATGTTTAGGGCTTGTAGTTTAGCCAGAGGGTGGAGTGCTTGTCTAGCATGTGCAAACCCCTGAGATTGGTCCCTGGCACTTCAAACAGAACAAAATAAAAGCAAAACATGCTTGTTTCAATTGTAAGCACTATTTGAACTCATGAATCACAAGTTGTGTTTTTTTTTCCCCAACACCAGCAATTGATTTTGGTCAAGTATTTATACAAATAACAGTGTGCTATTCTGCTCTATAACGTTGGATTTTCCTTACAAACAGTGTGAACTTAACTGGTATTCTATGAAGTGACTGATTTATGTTGTAGCAATAGATGCTGCCTGTATCCAAACTGCCTTATCTTATGGAACTGTATACTTTGCCTGGCCTATCTGTTTAAATTCCTGCTTCTACTCCAGAGAAAGACTGTATTGTACTGGGACTAGTTCTGTTACATTAAGGTTCTTTGCCTTGCTAAGGCAAGCTGAATTGTTCACTGGTTAGTTTGTTGGTGCTGGAATCCAAATCCAGTTCCTCTGCAAGAGCAATAAGTGTTCTTAAGTGCCAAGACTTGCTAGTGTATAGAGATGGGTCTTACTATAGCCGGGCTGGCCCAGAACTTCCTATGTAGCCACAGTTGTCCTCAGTTTCAATTCTTTTTCAACCTCCCAAGTACTAGCTGGATACAGGTGTTCCACACTAAGTTTGAGTTTGTTTTTTATGTAAACTAGGCTGCCCACCAGAGGAGTGCCCCACAACACTTGGCTTATTTTGTTCCAGGGTCTCACTGAAGTCTTGGATGGCCTTAGTTTAACTGTGTAATCTGAGCTGCCTTTGAACTTTTGATCCTCCTGCCTCAGTCTCCCAAGTGGTAGAGTGAAAGAATAGTTGTATTTTCATCTCCAGACAGTGCATGCTGTTGATGCAGCATTGACAGTGGTCACCCCTCACGTTCTGTCTCACTTAAACAATTTCTGCTGTTTATTTTTCTGATTTTTCTTTAATTCTTTTAGCAATAATGTTTATTCAGTTTTGCTTTCACAGACAGGACTTCCATAAAGAACAACGAAGTAATTTGGGACCAGAGAGACAGTTTACTGGTTAACACACTCACAACTGTCTATGACTCCAGCTCTAGGGAATCCTACACTTTCTTCTGCACACACAAACATGTAGCATAAATTCTAATTGTTCTGAATAATAAAAACCTAGAGTCAGATATTAGGGGGGCAAAAGCTAAGAGATCGGAGAAGCAGTGTAGCCAGCCAGTAGAGAGATCTTTTACCTCTACCAAATCCTCAAACTGCCTCCTCTGACTGCATCTTCTGACTGCTTCAGACTGCTGCCTTAAACGGCTTGCTCAGACTACAATGAGCTCCTTCCTCCTCCCACCTTGTATTCCTCTTTCTGCCCAGCCATAGCACTCTGTCTCCACCTCCCTAGTGCTGAGATTAAAGGCATAGGATCCCAAATCCTAGGATCACCTTTGTGTGAGCTCTGACTGGATCAATTTCATGTAGCCAAGGGTGGCACTGAGCTGACAGAAATCCATCTGCCTCTGTCTCCCAAGTCCTGAGATTAAAGGTGTGCGCCACCACTTCCTGGCCTCTAGTGGCTTAGCTCTGCATTCTGATCTTCGAGCAAACTTTATTTATTAAAACACAAAATATCATGACACAAACACGCACATACACACATGCATACATACACTCACACACACACACATGTTGTGAGACTTAAATGTGGTCCTTAGTGCCTTCTAATACTGTAATTCCCTGCTTCTGGAACCAGAATTTATTGTATGTTTGTTTGTTTAATTGTGTGTGTGTGTGTGTGTGTGTGTGTGTGTGTGTGTGTAGGAACATGTGTCATGGCTACTAAGAAATAAAAATCATCTTAGGACACATAAATTGTAAAAGGAATCTTTGAAATTATTCAGAAGTTTAATTTTTTAAAAGATTTAATCTCATATTTCTATATTTTCACTCTGTTTATAAGACCCATTGCTTTCCTATAAACTTTAGGACAGACTTAACTGTACAGCATATGGTGGGGGTGTAGTAAAGAGGGAGATTCTGTAGGGGCTGTATGACTGTAGAATGGGTTGTAAGTGGCCTGCAACTGTTACTTATACCAGCAACAAGAAGTGAAGTATAGCTGTTGTTTTATGGGTAGTTCTGCCCTGTATTACACAGGCTGAAGCAAGAGCACTTGTTACTCTTGCAGATGATCCAGGTCCAAGTCTAACATCAACATAAGGGCTTACAACAGTCTGTAACTCCAGTTCTAGGGGATCTGACACCTTCTCTGACTTCAGGTAGAAGGCACGCATGTGATACATATACATATATGTGTCCACATACATACATGCAGGCAAAATACTCATAGATTTAAACAAATTTATGAAAGACAGAGAAATTCAAGAGAAATGGAATAGTAGTGGTCACAACTCTGGTTTATAGTGATCATCCTTCAATATTCTCATTTAATTTTTATTTCTCTCTTGCTCTGCCTTACAGAATTGATGGAATCCACAAACACTAAACTGTGGCCATTGAGATTGACTTTGGAGGTGGCAGATTGGTTTATCTTGTTTAGTTTCATTTTAGAGATTCTTCTAATGTGGCTGTTCGGCTTTACTCTCTACTGGAATAATGCCTGGAATGTCTTTGACTTTGTTGTTACCATGTTGGTAAGGATAAATATCCTTAGGATTAGTTAATGGGACCAGCTATATCCCTTGGTAAATTAAATTAGCTCAACCATCAGGAAGGAATATATAAAGATTTATCAAATTTGCTGCTTTGATTTTTTCCCCTTAAAGCTAAAAGTAATTGCAGAAATTGTTGTCATTAAGAGTATCAACCCCTAATATGACATCTGCTACTTACTGAGCACTAAGTGACAGCCACTATTTAAAGTATTTTATGTGGGTTATCTTCTTCATGTTCTGTAACAACTCAAGAAATAAAGCACTAATTTTATCCTATTTTTAAATATGTAAACAAGTTGAAGTTTAGAGCTTAAATAGATTAATATAAAAAGACTAAATAGCAAACAGTTCCCAGATTCAAAGTAAGACCCAAAAAACTATGAAGAAGACAGGATTAACAGGGGCAGCTGTGCCTGGGTTCTTTGGGAATCCTTACTTATTGCCTGTATCTCTCACAGTCTCTGCTTCCTGAGTTTGTGGTGTTGATGGGAGTCTCGGGGAATTCTGTGTGGCTCCAGCTGCTGAGGATCTCCCGGGTGCTGAGGTCTCTCAAACTGTTTGCTCGACTCCGTCAAATGAAAGTTATTATATTGGCTCTGGCCAGGGCCCTGAAGGTGACTTAAACTGATTAACCTAAAGTAGAATGGGGGACAAGGTAGAAAGCATGGGTTTAATATTTAATATGGTCAAAGAAGATCATGAAAGGTTCTATGAAATGTCTTGTATGAGAACATTTGTATGTTCTCAGGAGCATCAGCCCCTAAAATAACGTCTGCTAGTTACTGAGCACTACGCTCTAAATATTTATGTGGGTTATCTTCTTTATGTTCTGTAACAACTCAAGAGCTAAGTACTAATGTCATCCCATTTCTTTTATATTTAAACAAGTTGATGTACAGAACTTAAAAAAAAAAGTAAACTGTTGTGGGTTAGAGTTACGCTTGCTCTGAGTTTGCTGGGATTTACTTGGTGTGCTTGACTGGGCCGCTGGTGAGCATCCGCCTTGCCTTACCCACCCGGATGTGACTCTGCAGAGCATGACGTTCCTCTTGATGCTCCTCCTCATCTTCTTCTACATTTTTGCTGTGACCGGTGTCTACTTCTTCCAAGACTATTCCCGCTCCACTATTGAGAACCTGGAATACAACATGTTCTTCTCGTAAGCATGGCTAAGGGCAGTCTTCATGAGGGGAGAGGTTTGTATGATACTGAGATGCTCATACAAAGCACAGAAATACAGAAACTAGACTCTGTGGTAAGAGGGTGGGACAGAATACAAAGAGGAGAAAGGGAGGCATAGTAAGTAGAGCTAGCTCTGATACTGGGTCTAGGACAACCAGTTCTGGTTTGTTTGTGTTTTTAAGTTTTTTGAAATCTTTAATTAAAATATAATTGTATCCCTTTCCCTTTCCCTCACTAACCTTTCCCATGTCCCCCTCCCTAACCCCTCTCTTGCCTCTCCACTCTTTCTCAAATCAACAGTCTCTTTTTATTATTATTGCTACACATATGGCATAAATATGTAATATGTAAATAATCTGCTGAGTGTTTATGATCTCAGGGCCGATCACTTTGTACGAGATAAACTGATTAGGTGATCAACCACAGGAGACTGATCCCCCTCTCAGCAGTCATCAGTCAGTTCCCTTAGTTCCTTGTCTAAGGGTAGGATCTCTTGAGATTTCCACCTTCCACATTAGCATCTTTTGGTTCAGGTCTTGCCTAGACAGCCATATTGATGAGATATTCTGGTTGTAGCTTCCCTGTCATTTCTAGGAGATGCACTCTCAAAGCAGACTTCGTGTTCCCCTGGCTCTTAAATTTTTCCTGCCATATATGTAGCAATAATAATAAATTTTATGAAAAGAAAATTTTTTAAAAAAGAGATTTATATCAAAAACATTCCTTGCAAGATGAAAGTCCATTTAAAATTATTGACTTGGGATCCATTATTTTTACTCTTTCTTTTCTTTTTCTTGTTTTAGTAGAACTTGAACATAGGATTCCATGCGTGCTAGACAAGTGCTCTATCGCTGAGCTATCTCCCTAGCATGTATTTATTTTCTTTTTTTTTTTTAAGATGTGTTCTTGCTAAATTGATCAGACTGACCTGGAACTATATAGCTTAGGCTGCCCTTAGACCTTTTTCAAGTGTTTATTAATACTCCCAACTAGAGTCTAGTTTCAGCAACATCTCAGAGGTGGTTTTGTTCTGTTTTATTTTGAGACAGCATTCTCCTTTATAACCCAGGCTGGCCTTGGCAAGTCTCCTGCCTCTGCATCCCAAATATTGGGATTACTATATAATTAGGTCTTTCTTAGACAATTTTTGTTTGTTTTGTTTTTGAGGCAAGTGGAGTTGGAATTTTCTTTGGGCCACCAACCAGCTCCCAAATAAAGACTCAGAGACTTATTATTAATTATGAATGCTTGGTCTTACCTTAGGCTTGTCCCACTAGCTCTTTTAACTTTACCTGTTTCTATTCATCTACATTTTTGCCTCAGGGCTTTTTACCTTTCTTTCATTCTGATGTCCTACTTTCCTGCTTCCTCTCTTTCTGGCCAGCCCTTCTCTCTGGCATCTCTTTTTCTTTCTTCTCTTTTTCTTCTCCAAGCTTAAATTCCCCCTCCTACTTACTCTCCCTGCCCAGAAGTTCCACCTATACCTCCTCCCTTGCTATTGGCTGTTTAGGTTTTTATTAGACCAATCAGGTGCCTTAGGCAGGCAAGATAAAACAGCAACACATCTTTACATAATTAAACAAATGCAATACATTTTGCATAGTTAAACAAATATTCTGCAACATAAACAAATGCAATCCATCTTAACATAGTTAAACAAATGCAACACATCATTACATAGTTAAACAAGTATTCCAAAACAGGCAAGGTCTTGAATGGGCTATGTAATAAAAGAGGACCCTGAACTCCTGCTCTTCCTGATTTCACTTTCCAAGTACTGGGATGACAGCTATACACCATGATTACACCTCTAAACTCTTATTTGTTTTTAATAAGACAGGGTCTCATTGGATGTTCTGGGCTGGGTCTTTAATCCCACATTGGGGGGGAAGATAGGGTTTCACTGTTTACCTCTGACTGACCTGGAATTCATAAAGATCTACCTACCTGCGCACTTTCTGAGTACTAGAAATAAAGGCAGGCACCAAAACACTTGGCTTCAGCTCTTTTGTTTTTTTCTCACTGTGTAGGTCAGGCTGTCCTGAAGCTCACTATGTTGATAAGCCTGGCCACCATGCCTGGCTGTCAACTCTAGACTCAACACATACTTTTGTAAAGATTCAGAGCAGGGCGAAGTGGTTCATTCCTGTACTCTTAGCCCTTGACAGCTGAGGCAGGAGGATTACTTCCAGTTCTAGGCCACCTGGGTTGATACAGTGAGTTCTAGACCCAGTGCTACACAATGAGACTTTGTTACGGAAAAAGTAAACTAAAAGCAAACATGAGAAATAAATAGGAAAGAAGAAAATTTTAGATAGTTTGTTTTTTTATAGACAACAGATTTCAGGAAAAAGAAAAACTCAGCACTTTATCATGTTAAATAAATGTTTTATGAAGTAGCTTTAGTCCTTAATCCCCAAATAATTCATTTATAATTGTGTCAATTTATATTTTAAATGTTATTTGTATGTATTATCATTCATTATATGGGATGGCCATCCATTTATTTATCTAACAGTTGATACTGTTCTGAAACAAGTACAGATACAATGTTAGATAGAAACGTTTGCTAAATTTCTTATATTATATAAAAATGATATCTAAAAATTATATGAAGTAAGGGGTCAGAGAGATGACTCAGTGGTTAAGAGCACTGGCTGCTCTTCCAGAGGACTGAAGCAAATCCCCAGCACCCACATGGTAGCTTACAACTATCTCTAACTCCATTTCCAGGAGATTGAACTCTCTCTTTTGGCATGCATGCAATTCATGGACACAAAATCAGGCAAAACACTTATACTCAGAATAACAAAAAAAAGAAAAAAAAAGAGAGGACCTAGAGAGATGGTTCAACAGTTAAGAGCATTGACTGCTCTTGCAGAAGACCTACATTTGATTCCCAGCATTCATATAGTGGCTCATGAGCACCTGTAACTCTAGTTTAGGGAATCTGTCCCCCTCCTCCAGCCATCTCAGGCACCAAGCATACATGTTGTACATACACATACATACAGGCAAATGTTCATATACAAATAAATAAGTTCATAGACTTGTAGAACATTAGCTTAGAAACAAGGTTTTAGTTGGTGATTTATTTGTCTTTTAAGAGTTCAGTCAGGGCTAGCAAGATGGCTCAGTGGATAAGAGTGCTTGCCACCAAGTCAGATAACCTGATCAATCCTGAAATCTACATGTTAGAAGCAAAGAACCAACTCTTGAAAGACAGCCTCTGAGCTCCATGTCTGGGCAGTGGCATGTTTGTGTGTGTGTGTGTGTGTGTGCGATAATGCAAAAAATTTGCTGGGCATGGTGGCACATGCCTTTAATCCCTTTGATATATATATATATCAAAGAAACAAAAAAGAAAATTTAAAGAATTTAGTCAGGAGCCAGGGTGGCTTTAATCCCAGCACTTGGGAGGCAGAGGCAGGTGGATCTCTGTGAGTTCATGGCCAGCCTGGTCTACAGAGTGAGTTCCAGGACAGCCTGGGCTGTTACACAGAGAAATCCTATCTCAAAAAAAATTAAAATAAAAATAAAACAAGGGATTGGAGAGATGGCTCAGTAGTTAAGAACACTGACTACTTTTATAGAGGACCTAGTTTCAGTTCCCAGCACCTACATGGCAGCTCACAGCTGTCTGTAACTCCAGTTTGAGGGGGGTCTGACACTCTCACACAGACATACATACAGGCAAAACACCAATGCATATAACATAAATAAATAGATAATTAAACACACACACACAAGAATTTAGTTAATATGTATTTATTGAGAAAGCAGCAGTCCCAGAACTAATAGAATATTGAGAGATATTTATAGGCTGTTGGACATAATAAAAGTGATTTTGGACTGAAAAATGGTTAGCTATAAAATATCGATAATGATAGAAAAGGAGCCAAAATCAGAGCATATTACAAGTAAATGCCCTTATGTAGCTTTAAGAATAATGAGACCAGGCACAGAGGCAGGAGGTCAACTCTGTGAAGTCAAAGTTAGCCTTGGACATAGTGAGACTCAAAACAAAAGCCAGTTTCTGAAAGGTTTAGATCTATGCTTCTGTATATTCACTCGCTGCTTTTTTAGGGACCTACTAAATTCCCTGGTGACAGTGTTCATCCTCTTCACCTTGGATCATTGGTATGCAGTCCTTCAGGATGTCTGGAAGGTGCCAGAAGCTAGCCGTGTCTTTAGCAGCATCTATGTGATCCTTTGGTTGTTGCTTGGCTCCATTATCTTTCGAAATATCATAGTAGCCATGATGGGTAAGTCCAGAGAAGGTACAACTTTGCACAAGGGATGGTGGAAAAACTGGCTAACTGGGATTGGTGGACTACTGGGAGAGAACTCAGTGTGTCAAGGAAGTCTAGCTGTTGGAATGGTTATTTCACTTTGTTTCTCCCACTTAAGCAGGCTTCTTTGTCTGGTCACCACCATCTTCTAACTCCTAATGGCCCTTTGGGGCAGTTACTAACTTTCAGAATATCAGAAATGAGCTGAATGAGGAGATGACCCACCTGGAGATTCAGTATAAAGCTGACATATTCAAGCGACAGATTATTCTGAGGTCAGCTATGTGTTCAAACCCATGCTATTTCTCAACTTGTTTCCTGTTTCTTTCCTTTGGCCCCTATGACAACAGTTTTGCCTAGAATTAAGAAGTCCCTGTTCTTGTTTTTCTTTATATGCTATGGGGGTTTCTCTACTCCCTGTCATTAGTTTTCTTTCTTTATAGATCTGAATTGTTTTCTTTATTATACTTTTTCTGAGTTGTAGCTTTTTTTTTCTAATTTTAATTTCTTTTTTTTTATTTTGTTTTGTAGGAGACAAAACCTATTCCCTGAATCAGTAAGGTAAAGTAATAGCAACATGGATGACAGGTTAGTAAGAGTGTGTGGATGTGATGGAAATATGAGAAGGAATAGATGGTAGAAACTGGTGAAGATGAAGGTTTGCTTTGAGAGAGAATCCATGTACCCCAAATTATCTATCTTTTTCCTAACTCTCTAAGACCTTTATGTGACTTTATTTGAAAAAGGAGTCTTTGCAGATGGGGTTAGTCTAAAGATCTGAAATAGCTCATCCTGGGTTATTTGATTATGTTCTTAGCTAGCAACAAAGATCCTCTAGGAAACCAGGAGGCGACATGGCAGCAGAGAACAGATGAAGGTGTGGGGTCTCTTTGTATAGTCCTGGCTGTCCTCAAACTTGATGACTGGCCTCAAGTTCACAGAAATCCTCCTGTCTCTGCCTCCGAGTGCTGGAATTAAACATATGTGCCACCACACTTGACTGATTATTTTGTTTTTGTGGAGATTTTTTTCTTCTTAATTTTTTTAAAATTTTGAGTTGGACATAGTAGTACATGCCTTTACCAGTCATGACTGGCTATGGTTGTAGTTTTAAACAAGGTTAACTAGGACATCCTCATTGAAAGAAATAATGTGAGCAAAGATGTGAAAGCAATGAGATTCCCATGAGTGTATCTATGTGAGAGTGCTAATGGCAGAGAGAGCAGCTGCACAAACCCCTAATGTGTGTGTGAGAGACATTGTGACAGGAGACGAGGTGAGAGGAGCGGTGGGTTGTGTGTGAGAGACATTGTGACAGGAGACGAGGTGAGAGGAGCG